GGGGTGGGGGTGGTAGGTGGGTAGGGAGGGAGGAGATGACTGCCCAGGGCTGGGGATCAGAACCTGGGCGTCTAATGGCTTTTTCCTGCTGCCCCCTTCATCCCTCCCGCCTGGGTTCCCAGATGCCCTTGAGTGCCTGCCATTTGGGGATGCTACTTTGCACGCCCCCACCCCCCACAAGCCTGCAGGGCCTAGGTCTCTTCCTGCTGCTGTCTGCAGTGTCATTCACTGTTCCTCTGACTGCTTTCCATTTCCTGAACCCCTTCTCAGAAGTAATCTCAAATCATTCACTTGACTTTTCCTCGCCTCATTCTCTTTCTGAAGCTGATAGTAACACAGGTGGTGCGTGGCTGATCCTCGCCTTTCCTTATGTGTCCTGCCCCACTGTCCGTCTCTGGCAGAGTGATGGGAACAGCAGGGGAGGGGCTGACGCAGGCCAGGTGAGCAGGACTCAGGGACAGGCAGGGTGCAGGGATGAGTGGGGTTTTAGGGGATCACCACCCCCAGGTTCCTGGAGTGGATACAGGGGGACCCCCCAGGCCAGAAGGGGGCCACTTCTTTTCTCGGTGTTAGGTGTGAGATGTCTGTGGGATATCTAAGCCCACAATTCTAGACACGAGTTACCTGCATGGTAAATTGCTTGGGGCAGGGGAATGGGCTGGAATTTGGGAGACCATGTGGTTAGGAAAGTGGTCAGCCTAGGGCCAAACTCAGGAAACCCCAGAATTTGCAGGGGTTGGGGGGACAGAGGGACAGGAGCTGGCAAAGGAGACAGAAGCAGCGAGGTGTTGGAGAATCCCGAGAGGGCAATGGGGGTGAGCAGGGTGGGGGCCTGGAGAGCGGTCCAGAAGAAGTGTGTTGGTGGGAGGGCAGGAGCCAGGGACGGGGGAGCAGGTGGAAGGGAGAAAGTGGAGACAGAAAATGCATTTCTTTCTTTTGAGATGTTTCAGTGAGAAATCATTAACTACAGGGACATGTGGAGTAAAAGCTTTTATTTCTCCCAGTGGATAAAGTTAAAGCACACTTACTAATGAGAGAGAGAAGCCAGAACATAGAGAGCAGTGCTCATCCGCACTGTGGCCTGCGAATGCCTTTGCCTTTACCTTTGTTCTGGGTCGATTTCTCTTTCTGGGGCTGATGAGACTCAAATGAGTTTGCTTCTCCTAAACCTGCACTTGCTGGAGCGGGGTTTGAGTGCTGACTGCTGCTGGGCGTTGCTCTTGGCTGATGCGCTGCTGGGCTGGGAGGAAGGCTCCGGGCAGAGGGGCTGGGGTCTGTGTCTGCAGGCAGACCTGGCTACACACGGCTTCTAACGGGGGGTCCTCAGGTTGATGCCGGGAGTTGTCGCCTGCACCCAGGGGCAATCCTTTTCCAGCACCATCTGGGGCAGGGCTGGGAGCCGGGCGTGGCTGCTCTCCATGGTGGTGCGGGCACTCTGGTGGAGGCTGGAGCACCTGGAGGAGAGAGGCCAGACCTCCTTCCACATCACACCCAGAGTCCTAGGCCCTGGGGGCCCCCACCAGTAGGGGACATTCTCACCCTGTCCCGACAAACTAGAATGGGGTTAACCACGCTCTGGAAAATATCCCCAAATAACTCGAGACACCTGCTTCTTCTTTTTTGTTACGCGTCCTCAGCGTGGACACCAGGCCTTCCTGTGACCAGCTTGTGGTTGGCAGTCTCAGGGTTTCCCTTCTCAGTCATGCTTCCTACCCCAGCCAGATAAGCTCTGCCCACGAAGCTGTCACCCTGAGCCACCAGCCAGAGATGAGGGTGGTCCATGCCCAGGCACCTCGGGGACCCTGCACTCTTCTCCAGACTGATGCTCGGGGTGGTTGTGGACACATCGTGGAGCTGAGAGGCCCGAGGACTGTACGGCTACAGGCGTCCCCCCCAAAACCTGCTTCCTGTCCTCCCCCACCCCCTCTCACCCCCACCTCTAAGCCTCAAGCTACTCATTACACTTCTTTTTAGAACCACCCAAGACAGCCTGGATCCATCTGGAAAATGTGTGTGTGTGTGTGTGTGTGTGAGTGAATGTTCAAGGGGGAGGGGAGGCCTAAAGCTATTTCTTCTTCTAGGGCCCTACATGGAGTTTGCTAATCTGACTGGTTAAAAGTCTGCTTTTATGAATTATCGTTAAAACAGGAAGTGGTTTTCCAAAAACGTTCCTTTCTGACAGAATGGGGGTGGGGGAGGGAGGCTCAGAGCTTCCTGAAATAAGTGGGTTTTGGAGGGGTGGGCGGCCCTGATGTACTGGCCCCCTGGGTCTCCTCGATGGTTTCCCGGCCTGTCCCCTGCAACAGCCACATTTCCTTAAGGCTCCCACCTGGGTGGTCTTCCCGCACTTCTCCCCAAGGTTTTCTTTCTCGGTGACGGGAGATGGGTCAGACCTCCATTTCGTAGGATCTTTTGTCTACTAGTCCCCGGAACCAAAAGAAGTGAAAGGATTGCTTTTCTCCTCCTTTCAGCACTAAGTATTGAAGGCTTCCAGTGGTCTCTATGAGCCCAAAGGGTTTTCAGAGCCTGAGGTTTCCTAAGCCCTGCAGCATGCAGGACCCCAGGTGGGCTATCTAGGGAGAGTGGAGTTTTCTACATAGACCCTGAGAAGCCCCTGGCTTCCTGTGCAAATCATAGTTCCGCAGCTCCATTTAGAGGTTTTTATTGTCTGGTTTCCTCTGTAGGGTGGGCTCTAATGTTTGGAGAAACAGCTTTGTGAGGGGTGAGCACAGGATGTCAGATGGCAGAGAGCCCTCAGGGGATGTCCTGCAGGACCCTCGCATGGAGGCCTGCTGTTTGTAAGACAAAGTGTTTGCCATCATTGGAAAAGACCCTGAAGCTGGGAAGGATTGAAGGCGGGAGATGAAGGGGATGACAGAGGATGAGATGGTTGGATGGCCTCACCCACTCAATGGACATGAGTTTGAGCAAGCTCCGGGAGTTGGTGACGGACAGGGAAGTCTGGCATGCTGCAGTCCATGGGGTTGCAAAGAGTCAGACATGACTGAGCGACTGCACAGCACATTCCTGCAGCAGTCACTGCTGGGTTTTGGTGCCGCCTAAGTGCAGGTGTGCACACCTTTCTCGACCCCGCTGACAAGCCCTCCCAGGACAGCGCCTTTTAGGGCTGATGCCTTCTGGCCGACTGCACTTGGGGTTCAAGGCAGGCTGCAGTGTTCTACCTCTTGCTAATGCTCATCTCTAGTTCTGTGAAAACAACCCCCAGTCCTGCAGGGCTGACAGTGCATCACCGGGGGCAGGGAGAGGGTGGATAATGTATGTCACAGGTGTGAAACTGAGCAGAAATGCAAAGCTTGGGAGTCAGATGGTCCCATGTCTCCCTGCAGGCTCCCTGGATAAGCCACATCACCCCTTCTGGCCGCTGTGTCCTCATCAGGGACGTGGCAGTAACAGGAAGATGGCGCGTTGCTGGACTCCTAAGGGGTTAAGGAAATGGGACCATAGTCATAAAATGCCTAGCATGTGTTTGGCACTTAGTAGGGGCTTGATCACTGGCTGGGATATGTGTTCATTGTTTAATTTGATTTTTTTGGTATTGTGGTAAAATAAAAAGGGCTTCCCTGGTGGCTCCGTGGTAAAGAATCTGCCTGCCAATGGCTGTAAAGAATCTGTGGCTTCTTGGGTGGTTCTTCCCATTTCCCCCTCCTCGAGCCGACCACTTATCTCTCTGTCTCTGTGGAGTTGCCTATTCTAAATATTTCATATGAATAGAATCATGTAACATGTAGCCTTTCATGTCTGATTTCCTTCACTGAGCATAATGCTTTCAGGGCTCATCAATGTTGCTGCAGAATGTGTCAGTCCTTCATTCCTTTCTTATGGCTGAATAATGTTCTCATGGGGCTTCCCCGGTGGCTCAGTGGTAAAGAATCCGCCTGTTAATGCAGGAGATGCAGATTCAGTCTCGGGGTCGGGGAGATCCCCTGGAGAAGGAAATGGCAACCCACTCCAGTATTCTTGCCAGGATAATCCCGTGGACGGAGGAGCCTGGCGGGATAGTCTGTAGGGTTGCAAATAGCTGGACACAACTGATGACTGAGCACACCCATGGTAAAACAGACACACTTTTTACCGCACTAACCATTTTTAGGGCTCTCATGTTTACCATCTTAAGCGTTTTAAAGTTCAGTGGCATGGAATACATTCACGGTGTTATACAGCTGTCACCACTGTCTAGTTCTGGAACTTGTTTATCACTGCAAACCAAGCTCTGACTCGTTAAGCAGTCATTCCCTGTTTCCCCCTCCCCAAGCCAACCACTTATCTCTATGTCTCTGTGGAGTTGCCTATTCTAAATATTTCATATGAGTAGAATCATGTAACATGTAGCCTTTCACGTCTGGCTTCCTTCACTGAGGATAATGCTTTCAGGGCTCATTGATGTTGCAGAATGTGTCAGTCCTTCATTCCTTTTTATGGCTGAATAATGTTCTCATGGGGCTTCCCTGGTGGCTCAGTGGTAAAGAATCTGCCTGCTATTGTAGGAGATGCAGATTCAATCCTTGGGTTGGGAAGATGCCCTGGAGAAGGAAACGGCAACCCACTCCAGTATTCTTGCCTGGGAAATCCCTTGGACAGAGGAGCCTGGCTGGCTATAGTCCATGGGGTCACAAACAACTGGACACGACTGAGTGACTAAGCAACAACAAAATTTTCTCCTGAGGCCTTAATTTGGAGAATTCATAGCATGGTCGTGAATGCTACTCAATGTCCCGCACTCTGGGCTGGGATTCTTTCTGTCCTCATTTCGGAATGAATAGTGTAGATTTTGAAGCAGATGTGGCCATAGATGCATTGAAGGGAAGGGGAAGGGGCTGGGTGACCATGAGCCCCCCCACCCCCCTGATCCCCCCATTCAGCTTAGCTCTGGAGCCACAGCCAGATGCCCCAGGGCTCTCCCAGCAGTGGCTCCTTCTGGGCTCCGGCTGGCAAGGGCTGTGCTCGCAGATAACAGACAGGCTCCCCGTGTCTCCCCGCAGATGCAGGAAAAGGCAAAGGAGATCTACATGACCTTTCTGTCCAGCAAGGCCTCGTCCCAAGTCAACGTTGAGGGCCAGTCCCGCCTCAATGAGAAGATCCTGGAGGAACCGCATCCACTGATGTTCCAGAAGCTCCAGGACCAGGTAACCGGATTTCCCCAGCTGCACCTTGACAGCAAAACTGACATTTCTGCCCCCCCCCCTCAGTTTGGAAGAATTCAGTTAAAACTAAATACTGAACACCTTAGAAGTAGCCCCATCCATCTGGGTGGCCCGAGGCACGTGGAGGGGGCGTGGTTGGTGAAAGAGACAGGCTGGCCTGCCAGGCCCAGGATTTGACCCATCGGGTCCGCCCTCAGGCTTCTTTACTCTTGGTCTACTCACAGTTTGACCAAGCAGGGTTATCAGTCTTCTCAACCAGATTAGAAGGGAGGCTGGAGCTGTTTGAGGTACCCACACTGAGGAAGCAACATGTGATAACTGCTAAAGGTGGGAGCAGCCAGATAAGTCTAGAAAAGCAAGCACAAGACCCGAAGTGGCAGGGAACCTGAGGCTTTTGTAACAATATCCAAACTTCACCACCTGCTTCAGTTGGCCTGTGGTCCACTTTGTCAATGTAGTCCACTTAATGCAGGAAAAGTTAGGTTTAAAAAATGGACCTCTAAGGGATAAACTTTAGTTTTCTGGTGAATTGTCATATAAGGAATGCCAGCAATAAAATAGGCAACAGGCTGAAACTGTACTTGCAGAGGTTTTTTTTCGGATATGTGTTTGCAGATGTGACTATTCATAGCAGGTTCTGTTCTTGTGAAACCTTATATACACACCCGTGGACCATGGAACACTGACAAATTGCTAACTTCTGCTGGCCCTGTTCTTACTGGGGAAGCAAAGGCCTTCTTTGGCACACAGGTGGAGACTAGCTCTTAGCTTAATTTAGCAATCCTCCAACATGAGCAAGTGCAGATCCACCTGGAGGGCTCGATAAAAGAGAAACTGGGCTCCACCCCCAGAGTTAAGGAGCAGACTTGATGTTTCCAGGTGGGTTGAGACCTTGCTCTCCTTGCAAACCCCCAGGTGATGTTGACGCTGCAGGTTCTGAGACTACACTTTGGAAAGCACTGGTCCACAGCATCAGTTGGCCTTTTTTTGTTTGTTTGTTCAGCTGGAGTGTGCACAGAGCTCAGAGCATGTCCCAGCATCCAGAAGGCTTCATCTGCTCAACATCAGATAAAAAACAAACAGACAGGTAGAAATTATAAATATAAGAATTAACTTGAGAATGTTTTCCAGCTGATACAGTGGCAAATGCAAATTCCACATGAGTTTGACCTCAAATTTGGGTGTCAAAGGGACTCTATAGTTAGCATGGGAAACTTGTTGAGGGCCTCCTGGAGGTGGTGATGTTGAGCAGATGGGAGGGATGTCATGGACATGGGCTTGTGGAGGGAAAGGAAGGCAGGGTTAAAGGCTGTGCTTGTGGCTATAGCCACACGGAGGTCTCCGCTTCACCCAGACCTCAGAATCATTTACAAGCTTCCTAGGGTACTGGGAAGGGAAGCCAGGGTGAGACCCTGTACCAACACCCCTGTGTTCTAGGTTCTCCATAAGAACAATAGCCACGCTTCAGGCTTCAGGGGTGCCCTTCTGTGCCCCCTTGGCATGTATTTAATCTCCAGTGAGGAGTTGTACTCCCATTTTGATGATGAGGAAAGCAAGGTTCAGGAGGACTACATGGTTTGTTAGCACAGAGTGCCACAGGTCTAGGACACGCTGGAGGCCGATGCACCTGCCTTCAAAGACTGTACTCTGGGGGCTTCCCTGGCAGCGCAATGGTTAAGACTCAGCGCTTGCACTGCACGGGGCTCAGGTTCAATCCCTGGTCGGGAAAGTCCCACATGGCGTGAGGTGTGGCCAAAGCGAAAAAAATAAGACTGTACTCTGGACTCCCACGGCCTCTCACAGCTCCTCAAAGCCCCAGGAGTTGGAGCAGAGGGATTACATGTGAATACAGCCCTTTTCCGGGGCTGCAGCAGCGAGGAATGAGGAGGGCTGCTGTCACCTCGGTCTCCCAAAGACCCTGCTCTCCTGTGAGAGTTAGGCCTGCGACACGTCTCAAAAAGGAGCTGGACTGCTGTGACCAGGGCACCCCCATTGGATTCAGATCTCAGGAGGTTTAGCTGGTGCAGAAAGGAGGAAATACAAGGGACCAAGGATGATGTTTTTTAAGTGACAAAAATATTTTAATTTAATCTTGTTTTTTGGCCTCACCATGCAGCATGTGGGATCTTAGTTCCCTGCACAGGGATTGAACCCATGCCCACCTCCAGTGGAAGCCTGGAGTCTTAGTCCCTGGACCAGTAGACAAGTCCCAGAAACATTTAAAAGATAATTTTTGTTAAAAAAATCTTTCATCTGCCTAACTAGAAAAATTATATGTACTCAACAAAAGAAACTTGGGAAACCAAAATATAAAAATGAAAAAATTCGTAATTTTATACTTGGAGCAAATCACTAAGTAACATCTGATGTCTAGACTTTCCATTATTTTTTCCTATAAATATGTATGTGTACACACATCTAACAAACGTGGCACAATGCAGTTCAAACTATTTCCTGTAAAGAAAGTACTTTTATATCCTGTTGTTGAAAGTCATTTACTTGAGGGGGAAATAGAGGTGCTAACTGTCTTCCTTGGGCATAACTGGATGGAAACAAGGTACTTGCAGGGGCTTGCCCAATGGTTCAACAGTAAGGAATCCAGGGCTGCAGGAGACGCAGGTTCAATCCCTGGGTTGAGAAGATCCCCTGGAGGAGAATATGGCCACCCGCTCCAGTATTGTTGCCTGGGAAATCCCATGGACAGAGGAGCTTGGTGGGCTACAGCCCAAAGGGTCACAAAGAGTGGGACATGGCTGAGCAACTGAGCATAGCACAGGGTACTTGGAATCTGAGTTGATTCCATAGTGAGTCCCTGTGAAGGCCTCTGGGTTCTGTTTTGCTTCAGGAAACTGTCTCTCAGGGGCCTTGCTGGTAACCATCGAAATGCATGCTCAGCACGGTTTGTGGTTCTTTGCCCCCAAAGGCCCGCACGAGAGCCCTGTTTTCCTAAGGAGAGTGAAGCAGAGGAGAGCATGTTTGGAACCACAAGACTTAAATAACTTAAAAACCCTTCTCAGCGGCTCTGACTTCATTCAGCCAGGCTCCTCTGTCCATGGAATTCTCCAGGCAAAAGAGTACTGGAGTGGGTTGCCATTTCCTCCTCCAGGGGATCTTCCCAACCCAGGGATCGAACCCAGGTCTCCTGCATTGCAGGCAGATTCTTTACCAACTGAGCTACTAGGTAAGCCATGACTTCATTCAGTACCACTTGGCTTTATGACTGAGCTGTCTGAGCAGGCTGCTTTCAGCACCAGCTCACCAGGAAAGCTTTAGGGAGCCTTAACGCCTACCTGTGCTAGACAATGCTCCAAGCCCTGGAGGCTGCTACTGGGGCAGCGTGGACTTTGGGGCACAGCTGAAACCTAGAAGGATGGGAAAAATCTTCCCTGAGCATCAGATGAGATGACCTGATGTCCATGAATCTCATTTAAACAAGAGCTTCTTGGGTCTTTGCTCAGGTCCTATTGATTCTTGGTTTACACACAGTTCTAACACATTTTGATTTTTCAGTTCACAGCCTATTTGAAGTGCTGGTAGAGGCTGTGGAGTGAGGAGCTGCAAGAAGCAATGGCTAACAGCCAAGGAGGAGGCAGAAACATGATACTAAGAACAGAAAACCACAGCACAGTGATTGGGAACCACCAAGCGTGGGGGACCACAGTCCCATACACCATACTGGGGGCATCCCAGTACTGCAGGATGGTGGTGCAGTTAGTGATCCTAATGACCCTAAAATGTCAAGCAAAACTTACATTGTGGTCAGCATAGTCACTGTAGAGTGTGTTAGGTGTTTTAATAAGAATTGCATACTTATTAAAATGATATCTTAAGAGAAGTTTGGAGGCTTAAAACTTTGTTCTCTAGAAAATTCATCATTGGAGAGATTGTTCTCTGCTTTAATTTTGCTCTGCTGATGGGGCCCAGTCGTGTTGCCGAGCACGTGCTGGTAAGGCCAGGAGAGGCAAGAGTAGCTCTAGGAGCATCCTTGGAACTTCAGCCTATGGTCAAAGGCTGTTGTTGGACAAAGTTAAGTTTTAGGAAACTGGAAGTGGGAGGAGGCGATCTTGCACAGAGTTGATTTCTTCAATGAATCGCAACTCACTGCAGCCACTTTTTAATCTTCAAAATTCCCCTGGGGAACTTCCCTGGTGGTGCAGTGGTTAAGACTTCACCTTCCAAAGCAAGGGGTGCAGGTTTGATCCCTGGTCAGGGAGCTAAGATCTCACATGCCTAGGGACCAAAAAGCCAAACTATTAAAACAACAACAACAAAAAAAAACCCAGAAGCAATATTGTAACACATGCAGTAAAGACTTTAAAAATGGTCTGCATTAAAAAAAAAAAAAAAACTTCCCCTGGGAGGTCTGTTTCGGTTCTAGTTGGTTTGCTGGTGTGTGAAGTTGTTTTTTCTTTCATTCCTTTATGCTATTAATATTGGTGGAGGGGGCCTACTATGTACCAGGGACTGTGCTTGGAACTGTGAGTGCAGTGAGGAAATCGGCATCTGACTAACCATGAGGATAGGAAATACAACAGTCAATGGGCTAAGAGTGACCGAGAGGGGTCTAGTGATCAGTGAGTACTCCTTGAAGATCCAAGTGGCAGAAGGGGGAACCAGGTGAGAAGACGGGGGCAGGACCTTCCAGCAAGAGCCAGTGGCACATGCAAAGGCCCTGGGGCAGGAATCCAGTGGGTGTGTTGGGAGAGGTCAGTGTGGCTGGAGGGGAAGGAGGAAGATAGAAGAAGCCAAGTTGGGAGGGGCTGGCTGGGTTTAGGCCCTGAGGGAACCAGTTTAATTTCAAACTGGTGACTATTTATGTGCCAGCTGGGCTTATAAGGTTTGGTTCTCTTGAAAGCCAGGCCCCTTGGCTCTGACCCCTGATGCCAGCTGCTTCCTTCCTTCATTGGGATGGGGGGTGGGTGGGTGGCAAGGGAATGCAGATGACTCAGTGCAGAGCCATCTCTGCTGCTAGAAAGTCAGTT